ATATTTGCGATAATATTTGCCACATTGCAAATATTTGCAAAGATATTTGCAAAATATTTGCGATAAAATTTTCGGGGCCACGATAATTTTTTATCAGGGCAAGACAACGGAGGAGTGTTGTGAATGAATACGCATGCTTGGGAAAAAAAAACCGATAACATAAAACCAATGACTCGATTGCAGTGTGATGCTGATATAGCCACGTTTCCATGGGCGTCGCCACGATTTTTTTCCGAGAGGGGGCAAAGCACATTATTTTCCAAAATTCTTGTGCTTTCTCCAGCATATTGTATTAAAATGTATCAATTTTTCGAGGGTGGGCGGGAGAACATTTGCCCACTTGCACCCCCAATGACACCCCTGCGCACGCACATGTTGTTAAATGTGGATTAAATTAACAGCATATGATTTCGCCCCTCGTTTTCTATTTTTTTTCTCCTTTTTATTTTTAGGATTTTCAACCCCCTCGCGACGCCCATACATGTTTCGTGCCACTTTGGAATGGAAAGCTCTTATGGTCCTTATACGTTCCTTAGTTGCGAGCTGGTTTTTCGTATTTCTGCTCGCTTTAAAGTGGGTTTCGATCGTGTAAAACTCTTGCTTTATTGTCTATTTTTGGATAATTAATTTCTTAATTTCTTTCTAAGAAGTTTACAAACATCTATCGTTTAGTCCGAGTGCCCTAAACAAAAAGCCTACATTTTTAACATTTTGACAGCGGCGCACCCAGGATTTGGCCGGGGGAGGAAGCTCACAAATTTTTTTGAATTTTTTTTCTTCAGAAGTTTGCATTTTTTTCAAAAAAATGTTGGCCCAAATTTTTGGCCACAGAAAAAATAATATTATTATTATTTTTTTTGAGGGGGGGGGGGAATGAGAGGACGGACTTTTTTGACGTTCACGTCCCTATTATACTACTCGAAAATAGGCCACATACATATCACCACAGTGGGACTAAAAAGAAAAATCGACCCGATCCCCCCCCCCCCCATTTTTTTTGACAACCTCTTGGGGGGGGGGGGGCTTATGCCCCCTCCCCTCTTGGGTGCGCCACTGCATTTTGACACAATATCATTGAATAAAATCAAGATTATACATGTATTTACATTAGCTATATTGTTGCAATTACTGCTTAATATATAATCAATTTAACAATAGACTTTACAAATAAACTGATAAACTAATACCGTCTCATGAAATAACATGCTAATTATTATTATATACTTTATTCATAAATTCCTAATACAGTTTACCCATTCAAATTGCAATGGTCGAAAGCCCGTCACGTGGCCGGTCTTAAATGGATGATACAGACAGGCTGGTCTTAAAATGAACACTTTTCCAGTGTCACATGAAATTTGGACTTCTCATGAAATCCTGTGCCTTTTAACGTTTCATTGGTTGAACGTCCACACTCCTCACGTAGACATGCGCAATACTACCAGTGAATCAGTATTTCATAGTCCGAAATTACTACACCAGCAGCTCAGCGGCGTTTTACGCGACATCGCGCAGTACGCGCGACGCGCACGCGAATCTCCTTATAAGGTAAGGAGCTGTAGAGGGACATTCCATATTATAGTGAAAAGGCTTCGCCTCGGGTAATTATCACCCATCCAGACTCCAACCGGTCTTAAACAGAGTTTTTAATACCTCAGGCCCAAACACACACTTATTCCCTTATTAATGCCAGACTTCGTTTCTACAAACTACCTTTTCAGTTCGATATAATTATCTAGTCAAAACCTTAGTACTAAATTTACCAAACTGATTTCTATATTCATATTAAACACTCGCCCAACGTAATATAGAATAATTGGAACGATAACATTAAGTATTTATAAAATATTGGATGGCTTTGAGGGGGATACAAGAAAATACAGCACGAGCTATAACACTATTACACGAGTCAAAAATATTGTTATAGCGAGTGCAATATATATTCTTGTAACTCCCGAAAAGAAAACCACCCTATTTTATTATTATTTTTACTAGCGGGATGCCGCGCTTTGCGTGGCACTCGCTAGCTGGGTGGAGTCGTAAAGTTTGTATTGTTTGAAGGTTTAAAAAGTTGTAAGTGGGACAAAATGTTGACAGTTAAGATTTGAAAACATCTTGCGTGAACGAAAGCCTAGATATATTGTGGAAAACGATTTGTAATCCGGTTCATTAGTGTTACCTTACTTCAGTTTAAACCACACCCACTGCCCATAAAGTAGCATTGGAACCATTGGAACCGGAAGTTAACGCAACTAGAATGTTTATCCAATGGCCGCTAGTAATCAGTGGTGCGCGCTCGTATGGCGTTTTCTTTCAATAACGAACCGGATAGACAGCGGGCGCTGTGATGTCATGCTGACAGACGTACATGCAACTTTAACTACCGGGAGATTTTTGCATGTGATAAGGCCCGAATCATTCATTGTCCGCTCAAGCACATCAGCTACAGAGAGCATACTTCTACAATTAGCGCCTGCTATTGAAAACATGAAGTGGGAAAATCCAAAAGTTGCGAACAAGGTTGACACGGGTTTATCAACGGCCATGATGGATTTATCATCGTATAACGTTGCTGTGAATCTTGAAAAAGATCAGTGCGCCCTCAATTGACGTATTTTATGACGGAGAAGGGTTTATAATACAGTCAAGTTTCGAAAGTGCATATTCATATCGTACGAATTCGTACGTTTGACGGTTAAAGGGTACGTTATACTAATGTGTTACTTTGACCTCAAATTGCATGTTGACCCCCAAGTGGGTGTGGTAAACCTTGGAGAACAAAGGAGATCAATATTGACAACAGTAACTGTGAGTTTCTTAGTCTGGTTCCCAGACCAACAATTCCGACTATTTCTGACTAATCTTAGGTCAGGCAGCCGCCAATATCACGTTACCAAAATGGTAGGAATTCCTCCCGTTTCCGAAAATGTCCGAACTTAAGTTTACCGAATGCATTTCGTCGATTCTCTCAGATAGCGCCCTGGGTATTTCCGGGTATAAAATAGGTTGTATTTACCTGCCACGCTTATTAAAAAATGTAAAAAAAATTGACTTCATATATTCATAAAAACCTTGAAATTCAAGAACGACTATGTACATTTCGGCTTCGCCTGTTATTTGGATCCCTTACTTTGAAGATCCCAGCTCAACATCATGTCAGTCAACTGTATGATGTACGAAGCAAAGTGTATTTTTTTAATTTGATGCGAACATTAAAGGGTTTTAATGATAAAGCCAAACGGAAACAAAGCCGAGCTTTGAGAAAGGGACATCATGTTTATTTTGAGCCGTGGCGGCTAACCGCTCATGAAAAAAAGACGCTCTTGAAAACAAGCCGCCGCTCGTGAAAAAGGGCGCTCTTGAAATCAGGCGCTCGTGAAAAAAAGAGCGCTCGTGAAAAAAAGGCTCTCGTGAAAAAAAGGGCGCTCATGAAAAAAATTAAGGCGCTCCTGTAAAAAAGCGCGCGTAAAAAAGGTCGATCGTAAAAAAAAGCCCATCGTGAAAAAAAGGGGCGCTCGTGAAATAAGGGCGCTCATGAAAAAAGGCGCTCTTGAAAAAAGGGCGGGTTAGAAAAGGGCGCTCGTGAAATTAGGGCACTCGTAAAAAAACAAAAAGGTAGGCCTACTCATAAAAAAGACGCTCTTGGAAAATAGCGCGCGTAAAAAATCGTGAAAAAAGGCCATCGTGAAAAAAGGGGCGCTCGTGAAATAAGGGCGTTCATGAAAAAAAGGCGCTCTTGAAAAAAAGGTGCACGTGAAAAAAGACGCAGATGAAAAAAGGGCACTCGTTAAAAAAATTGCTCATCAAAAAAAGGCGCTCGTAAAAAAAGGGCGCTCATGAAAAATAGGCGGGAGGGGAAAAAGGGCGCTCATAAAAATAGGCGCTCGTAGAAAAAAGCGCGCGTAAAACAGGGCGATAAAAAAGGCCATCGTGAAAAAAAGGGTGCTCGTGAAATAAGGGCGCGCATAAAAAAAGGCGCTCTTGAAAAAAGGCGCTCATAAAAACAGGCACAGGTGTAGAAAGAGTGCTCAAGAAAAAAAGGCGCTCGTTACAAAAAGGGCGCTCGTGAAAAAGGGCGGGTAAAAAAAAGGTACTCATGAAAAAAAGACGCTCGTTGAAAAAAGCGCGCGTAAAAAATGGGGATCGTGAAAAAAAGCCATCGTGAAAAAAAGGGGCGCCTGTGAAATAAGCGCGTTCATGAAAAAAGGCGCTCTTGAAAAAAAAACAGCGCTCGTGAAAAAAGCGGGTTAAAAAAGGCGCTCTTGAAATAAGGGCACTCGTAAAAAAATGACGATCGTAAAAAAAGGCCATCGTGAAAAAGGAGCACTCGTGAAATAAGGGCGTTCATAAAAAGGCGCTCTTGAAAGAAGGAGTTCATGAAAAAGGCGCACGTGAAAAAAGGGCGCTCGTGATAAAAGGGCGCTCGTGATAAAAGGCGCTCGTGATAAAAGGCGCTCATCAAAAAAGGCGCTCGTGAAAAAAGGGCGGGTGGAAAAAAGGGCGCTCGTGAAATAAGGGCACTCGTAAAAAAAAAAGCGCTCATACAAACGGCGCTCGTGGAAAAATCGCGCGTAAAAAAGGGCGCTCGTGAAAAAAGAGCGCTCGTTTCAAGTTTGACCTTTTTTCACGAGTGATCTTTTTGTTTTAACTTGGCGCGAACGTTGGCAAAATCATTCTGCTAAATGAAAAGCGCCACGTATTGTCCGCCACCTTTTGTCGAATGGTGTCATGTTATCCCCCCCCCTTTGATTTTACGGAGGCCGGGTGACCGGTGAAAAAAATCCTGTCTACCTTTCGGCACGAATGAGGCGAGTGCCCTTTTTCACGTCTACCCCCAAATCAAAATGACCTTCCTACGCAACTGCTGTAAGGTTGGTTGTGTGGGGGTGTGTTTACATTGCTCGTGTAATTAAGGCTGCTAAGCATTTTCCCGAGTTGCCGGCGAGGCGAATCTTTGTTGATGATGCGACATTGGTCGTACTCGGTATACGAGAAACTTTCTAAGCATAGCAGCAGTACACCCACGATTGCGCAGCTGGTCTAGGTGTGTTTGCTATGGTATCTTGGTAACACTCGTCGCCTGTTCTTGACCCACATCCCCCATCCGCAACTGACGCATCACGGTTTGGTGTAGCGAAGTACAGCCAGGTTGATGATCTGTAGCCGTTGTCGTACGCCTCCTTCAGTTCGGCCAGGGTGCAGGGATGAGCTCCCTGATCAGAGCATCCACTAGCCTGCCCGGCACGGTCTGCGACAGCATACAGCGATGCAGTGCGGACTGGGTCACGGTAGACGTACGGGAGGGAGCAGCACAAGCCGGGAGACGGGGCGGTCAGCGGCAGGTCGTGGTAGGTCACTCCGGTCTCGGTCAGCACGGCCAGGCTGTCAGTATCAGCGTACCATGAGAGAGGTGTGGCCGGGTATTTCTCCCCAGAGGCGTGGTCAAGTTGCGCATGAAGGCATAGCTGTTGGCCGGTCTTGCTGCACTCAGTGGCTGCCGATGCGTGAGTGTGGTACCAACAGTCGGTCAGGCTAGGAAAACCTATCAGAATTCAAAATGCATATTTACCAAGCCAAATTAACACGATGTGTTCTGCTTGTGAATGGTTCTCATTTGCCGGGTACGCAAAGTTTCTGAGCATGAGTTTCTTCTCAGTACAATAACTATGTAATGATCTCGTGAACCTTTACCTATCCACATGCAACATATCTTTTGAGGAGGGGCACCAGCGAATGTCTGTGTATCGTTTCATTAACAGAGCAAACAACATACACATTTTCGCTTCTTTTCAACGGACCACGCCATTAAATTAATAAAAATTAAAAGTGCCGTTATTGGTTCAGAAATAATGATGAAAACCTAAGATTATGGTCTAGGCCTATACGTTGTCTTTACCAGTCTTAAATTCATACCTGTGTTATCCCCGGATGCCAGGAGCTGAACAAGTTTTGGCTGAAATTAGAATGAGCGGGAAAAAAAGAAGAAGTTGATGACAGAAATAATCATAAACATCAGGATTCGACCTTTTCTGTTGTCCTTGTCCCAATAATTTGCAGTGGCATGACGTAGGCCTATCTTCCATGTTTATTTAGCGCAATTCGCGATGAATAGCGCCACCTTTGTCTGGTAGCCTAGTGGCGCACCCAGGATTTGGCTGGTGGGGGGGGGGGGGGGGGGGGCTCACAATTATTTGTAATTTCTTTTTAAGAAATTTGAATTATTTAAAAAAATGTCTAAAAACCCCTAATTTTTGGCCGCAGTAAAAAAAATGGGTTGTTTTATTTTTTTTTTTATTTTTGGGGAGGACGGACTATGCATGTTGACGTTGGTGGCGCCTTTTACACCCCTTTGATACTATTCGAAAAAGAATTGAAAAAAAAAATGTAAAAAAATGAGAACCTCGGGGGGGGGGGGGGGGGCTGGATTCGCCAATGTGGTAGCCTCGTCCGCTTTTAACACAGACTGGTTCCCGGTCTCTCCATTATCCTTCCGACTTGTAGCTAGAAGTGAATCCCGAATCAATAAGTAGGTTTTCTTTCTAACATACGCAAACTATATGCAGGACTTGCATACTGCATGTCTGATTTCCGCCCCCTGAATTCAAAATCACAACGAACATGTTTACGCCGAACCATCCTATGACAAAATGGCAACAGGGCAATGCGCAATTTCTGTGGTGATGAGCTTTGATTTTCACTGAATTCGACAGTGTCTTCTGGCAACTATCATTAAGAGTACGGCACTGCTTTCCAGTATTTGAAACCTATGCAGCTGAAATGCTTGAAGGTTGTCCTCGTGTAGACACTGGCGATTTGGCCTACTAGTTGTGGTAAGACTAAGAGTCAGTTTTTGGATAACCATGTGTTCAAGGATCATCATGCACAAAGCTGTAAATATCGTTTCAAAAATAAACAATCACTCCGAGCACGCGGTACTAGCTAGCGGTACCCATATTTTAGGGGGGGGGGGGACCAGTCGACTTTAAACATAACAGCGACCCAAAAGTCAGATGGCAAATTGACTTAATTGTGAGGTCTTCTGTCCCTATTGTTGCTCTGTGCTCTTGGTGCCACAAGGAACAATGCATGTGTACACCACAACTAGCAATTATTTTGCTCCAGTTACCGCGCTGAAACTCCATTTTATTGCATTGTGAATGACAATAGACCTACTCCCTCCGCGATTTATTTTCGACTCGTTGTAGCAGAGCTATAACTGTAACAGGACCGGTCTTTCGAGGCAGCTAGCGTAAATATTGAAGAAAACCATCTATATTAAAATTATTGATTTTTGGTTGTTGACGTATTTGTTCAATCAATATTAGATTTTTGCCCTTCACCGTCGTATAAACACTGTATTCTCAGAGTGTAACCTCCTGAGTGAAAGTTGGAAAAATCACTCGAACCCACGACCTCCTTCTTTCTACGGTGCAGACGTCTTACTACTCGACCACCGAGCTTGCTTGATTGGTTGGCTGGTACGAATCTGATGTAGCTCCGGGTACCGCAATTAAACTATTCATAAGATGGAGTGTTTTTTCTCCAACTTTCACTCTGGAGGTAAACACACAGTGTTCATACGTCGGTGAAGGGCAAAACCTAATATTGATTTACATCACCCCGACGCAAATTCCATATTATGAATAGTTTCATTGCGGTACCCGCTGCGATCAGATTCGAACTAGCCAACCGATCCCAGCAAGCTCAATGGTGATCGAGTGGTATCACGTCTGCACTAGAAAGCAGGAGGTCGTGGGTTCGTGTCCCCCTGGAGTGATTTTTTTCCAACTTTCAAACGGGAGGTAACACACTGAGTATACAGTGTTTATACGTCGGTGAAGGGCAAAACCTAATATTAATTTACATCACCCCAACGCAAATTCCATTTTATGAATAGTATGTTCAAAGATTGTTAAGCTCTTGTAGAAGCTTCTACTTGACACTTGACGGTCGGTTGGTCGGTATGTCCCCGAAAATTGACCTAAAATATTTGAAGTGTTGGTCACATAAATGCGTGCCAAAGTTTTCCGAACACCGGCTATTTTTCGATCGATGCACATGCGCGTCTATTTTGCATATGTCTGTCCCCGAAAATTGACCAAAATGAACCCTCTAAGTTTCCCATAAAAATTTACTACCAAATTTAAATGTTCCAAAATAAAAGCAACAAAATAAATTTCATACTTAACAAAATTGTTTCTAACAATTCGGAAAGATGTTTATGATAAGTTTTGTAAAATGGAGGCAAAATATGTGCAGTAATGGATATAAAAGTGAACCACTAGTTAATTGCCATCTGAAAATTAAAACATTGATGTAAGTACCAGTTTTCAAGTCAACCAATCAGATAACAAAGATTGATTCAGGTGTTATATAAAAATATAATATAGAAAAATTATAGAAAAAATTAATTCTGTGACAGATGGAAGGTTCCATTCCACCGGCTTCGCCTCGTGGAATAGAACATTCATCTGTCGACTCATGAAATTATTCTTACCATTGCACTCACAAACATTCATCATTTGTATAATACTTTATGGGAAACTTAGGGTCATTTTTTTGGGGACAGACTAGCGCAGCGTGATTTTCGCGTGCACCGTTGGACTGGACTGGAGCTTATTGTGCACTCTCACTCGTTTTAATACGTTCAACTAGCTCACGCGAAACCCACATTTTGTGATGATAATTCTTGTTCAATGTTCGTGCTCTGACTTCATGTTCATCGAACAGAAGATTCCTAATGTCCATTTTAAAGGTATAGTCCATCACTTGTAATTTGTGCATTTTGCTCGTTTGAAGCAACAAACTTGCTCAAAATCTAAAGAAGGGTGCTGAACAACTACACCTGATGAAGTTTCAGCTCAGCTTCGGCTGTATATTCCGAGAAAAACAGCACTCTATGATCTCGATTTCAAATCAAAAGTTGCTGAATCATGTTTTGAATTGGGCCTGAATTCAGCGTCTGAGACACGTTCTCGCTGACCCGATTGCAGCTACGCGATGTCGCGCACTGATCTGACGAATTATAGCAACCGCACGCTCGTGTGCGTCGTGTCAATGCTTGCGCGCGTTTCGCTGAATAAAAAAACGAACTACTAACGGAAATTTCCAACGGTGCTTCTTAAGACGTACCGTTGGAAAGGCCTTCTTTCGTTGATTTCTTCAAAATGGCAGCTTGCCTGAAAGAATAATTTCCCAGGGAGTTTAGTTCCCATACTATCGTTCAACCAAGTATGTTTTTCAACACTTATAGACCGCTTGCAGATACGTTCGATAATCGACGCGCGAAGGCGCGCGACGCCATGTTGTGGGACAGGCGTATATCTATCCATGCACATTTTGTCCCATAACATGGCGTCGTGCACCTTCGCGCGTCAATGATCGATCGCGTCTGCAAGCGGTCTATTACGTCAGTTACTTTTCGGATAGCTGCAAAGGAAGGACTGTAGCTTTAAGTAAAAAAAAAAAAGACGAGTACAATAATTTCCCAATATTTTTAAAGTTGCACCCCGTGCTATTTCTGAGATTCACCTGAAAAAAAAATTCAATTGCTATTTTCCTAGTAATTTAAAAAGGATGACTTTTGTATGTGTCATAGAACGAACAAATCAATCGACGTTTAGTTATTGAATTATTTTTTGACAAAATTAATTGTTTCAATTGAAACAGTTTATCATGATGCATTTTCAGACCATCATTCAATTAACTTAAAATTGAAAATAAACCCCTCAATTTAATGTTTCGAACACGTGATCGGAAAATATGGGAATCAAATTTAAAAGTACGCCCATTCAAATTGAAATTATCAGCGAAGAACATTCAAATTTGCCTAAAGCCTTGAGGCGAGAACATGTGGTGAAATGAGTTCATCAATGGACAAAACATTTCCGACATTTTGGCATTGGAATTCAAATAGGCCTACACAACGTACACCATTTTTGGAGAAGAATCACAGAAAAACTAAAAGAATATATCTGTAATTCCAAGAAGATATGCTTAGATAACGAAATATGTTTTTATTCGTAAGAATCTTAAGAAGTTGATATAGGCTTATTTGTCAGAAGAAATACATGTATAGAGCAACGATGAAAGAAAAGATGTCGAAGAAAGTAAACGACACCTTGAAATAAAAATAATAAAGATGAAAAGTGCAGCTTTCCTAACGAAAGCCTTTGTTTTCAAAGTAAGTTTTGCTTACATTTAATTGTTACCCAATTTTGATGTACATGATTTATTGTGATTATTTGGAATGCACAAGGTGCTAAATTGATCACACAGAAATCAAGGCGTGCTAAATCGAACGACGATTGGATGTTATTTAATTGAATGGCCGCTCAATGACTCATTTGGTTGTGTTGGCAAAGAAATTGAAATTCTGTAAACGAAATTGCACGCGTTAAAATGAATAAGAACCAAATAATTAGCAGTAAGATCAAAATCGCCTGAATACGTAACTTAGTTCAAAAATAAATTAGAACGTGTTTCTGACGAACTTGAGCAGGAAAACCTTTTTTCCCCGCCCGATAAGAATTCGGCTCTCGTAAGGCGGGTACATTTTGCGCAAAATGAAAGTAGAAATTGAAATAGAGTAGTTTTTGTGAAAACAAAACATGAAAAGTTGTTAGGAGAAAAGTATAATAGGGGTGTAAGTGGCGCCACCAACGTCAAAATAGTCCGTCCTCCCCCCCCCCCCCAAAAAAAAAAACCCCAAAAAAACCCCAACATTTTTTTCTGCGGCCAAACATTTTGGGCCAAAACGTTTTGAAAAAAAAACGACTTCAAAAAAAAATTGAAAAAAAAAGATTGTGAGCCCCCCCACAAACCAAATCCTGGGTGCGCCACTGAAGTGAGTAATTCATACCTCTTCCGGACCGTAGTAGAAGATACCATCCATCTCAGTCAGATCCATCGGGTATCGCGACGCTGTAGCCCCGTTCAACTCACACCGCATCTTCCCCTCCGAGTAGTGGAAAGAGAAGCAGCGATCATCGATAAGACACTCCCTGCCGCACAGGACCGGCGAAGCTACCGTCAGGTTGCGGTAGCCGTGACCGGGCAGGACGCGGTTCGCTACTCCGTTGAAATAACGCTCCAGGCCCCGTTGGCAACCATTGGTGCACGATTTCGATTGCCCATCTTGGCAGTGTGACTCGAAGAAAGCCTCGGTCACCAGGCCAGAGATGGGTAGAAGAAAAAGAAGAAATAACATCTTCTCTTTCCTTTCGGTGTTATAAAATTCGTTTTATTCTGATTCCTCTTCGACGTATGCAACTCTTTTCGTTGCTGACTATGATGAGGTGAAGGATTAGAATGAGGCAAATGAGGAAAAACGATAACGGTGATGGCTTAAGTCTTAATTTCTGACCTTGCAGTGGCGGACGCTCGTCTTTGGAAACCATTAAGAAAACCTAACGACGCAAAAAAAGAAAACAACCTCACCATTTATAACTATGGCAACCGTTGATAAACGGAACCACGGTTCATGCTTTATTAACTTTTACCGCGTTGGTTTAATTGTTTGGGTCTGCAATTAGTAAATTTTCGTTGGTGCACGATACAGTAATAAAAAAAATTCAGTCAGCGGGTATGAAGCTGATGGCAGCCACTGTGTGTGGTGTAAAACTGAAATAAAATAAGCTGGTTAGGTGCAGATAAGGATGTACATCAATGAAAAATGACACCAATTTTAATTTAAACGTTCACCATAAATTAATACTTATCAATTTTTTGAAGGAGAGTGAACAAATACTAATGTATAAAATAAATAAACAGATTAATTTGAGACATAATCTCTTGTATTACTTGTACCAAATGAAATATCCTCTTTGTCTCAAGTGAGGCCGATGTATTTTCTTTTCTGAGTTCAGAATATAGACTCTGTAGAAACATCAATGAAAAAGATGTAGCGAGGTTTCTCAGTTAAGGCATCGTGTTTTGTCTTATTGATTGAGAATTCAAAGAATTACAGGGGCGTAGCAAGGTCATTTTATTATTATTATTATTTTTTTTTTTTGGGGGGGGGGATTTCTTGAAAAGGGCACTTGCACATCCGTGCTGAAATGCAGACATTTTTTTCTCCGGACACTTGGCCTCCGTAGAATAGTGGGGGAGTCTGATATACTCGGTTGCCAGTTGTTATTGCGGAGCCAGAAAAGTTTCGCGAGTTAGCATCGACCGGAAACAACATATTGCAATTATATGCCGTTATGTTTCCAGTGTTGGACGGAAACAAAATATGCTGCAATTATTATGCTGAAAAGTTTCGCGAGTTAGCATCGACCGGAAACAAATTATTGCAAATGGTATGCCGAAAAGTTTCGCGAGTTAGCATCGACCGGAAACAACATATTGCAATTATAAGCCGTGATGTTTCTAGTTTTGGACGGAAATAAAATATTGCAAATATTGTGCTGAAAGTTTCGCGAGTTAGCATCGACCGGAAACTACATATTGCAATTATATGCCGTGATGTTTCAAGCTTTGGACGGAAACAAAATATTGCAAATATTGTGCTGAAAAGTTTCGCGAGTTAGCTTCGACCGGAAACAAGTCATTGCACATAGAAATATGTTTAAGTTCATATATGTTTACCTTATATGATAATTGCAGTTTCGCGAGTTAGCATCGACCGGAAACTTTAGACTTAGCCGAATTTAATTGTGAGAATAAAAGGCTGCTCAAGCCACAATGAACATAGAATGGTGAGTTTACTGCATCTGTTTTGTGTCCAACTTTCTGATCATGCGGGGATAAATGCGCGATATTTAAAAAAAACGGCACCCGTGATGACACAAAGAGGGCACGACTTTTTCTTACAAGGGCACGACTTTTTCTGAAAAAGGGCACTTGTTCAGAAAAAAAGGACACTAGTTAACAAAAGAATGGCACTCTTTACAAATAGTTTTTTTTTGGGGGGGGGGGGGTAAGCGCTGGTAAAAAAAGGCATTTGAATAGAAAAGGGCAGTCTTCACAAATTATTTTTTTTGGGGGGGGGGGGGGTAAATACCACCCTTAACCCTCCCCCCTACCCCACGCCGGCTACTCCTATATTTAGAGTATACATTATTCTATGAATTATTTAAACTTATTTTTCAGCTCTTGCAGGAGCTTCTACATGTCAATTGGTGGCAGTGGCGCACCGGGGGGGGGGGGGAGGGCTTATGGGGCTTGAGCCCCCCCTCCCAAGAGGTTGTCTTTTTTTTTTTTTTTTTTGGTATTTTTTTTTTTAGTTCCACGATTTTACCTTAATTGGTGGTATGTATGTGGCCTATTTTCGAGTAGTATAATAGGGGTGTAAGTGGTGCCACTAACGTCAAAATAGTCCGCCCCCGAAAAAAGACTCCAATTTTTTTCTGCGGTCAAAACTTTTGGGCAACATTTTTTGGAAAAAAAAGGATTGAGCCCCCCCCAAAAACCCCAAAAATTGACCAAATGCCATGCCGTCGTAAGTATCTAAATGCACTCTGGACGAACATTATCTGAAAATGGGATTTGTCTCAATCGATGCACATGCGCGTCTATTTTGCATATGTCCGTCCCCAGAAATGTACCAAAAACTAATCCCAAATAGTTTCCCATAAATTTTAATTTAAAGAAAACAGCAAATAAAGGAAATGAAATACTTCACAAACATTGTTCGTAACAATTAGCAAAGTTGTTTATGAAAATTTTCTAAATGGAGGCAAGATAATGTGCAGCAATATTAAAGTCACGTGGCATATAGCGCGCATTATTATGGGAAACTCAGGGGGCCTATTTTGGTCAATTTTTAGAGCGTGATTTTCTTGTGGGACGACGGCCCGGGCTTGTACGCACTATCGTTTCATGCAAGACTTTCATGCAAGGCGGCCAGAGCTTATTGTGCACTCGCACTTGTTGACAATAAAGGCCTTTTTTTACAGTGGGCGATATCAATGTCAGTTTCCACAATAAAAGGCAAATCTGTAAAGTCCTCAGCCAGAAGCGCTTAAGCCACCGCGTCGCGAGCATTTTGAGTTCAAGAATTTGCCAACAATTTTGCACCAGTGGTCAACTCGCTAATTTTTTTTCTGCTTCCTTTTTTTTTATTCACTTATACATCAATTTCAGCTAAAAAAGCAAATAGGTTACAACTACGTGTATATGCAATAAGCTATATTTTAATTTCATACTTAGTACATAAATCCATTGAATGTAACACGGGCTGCTTTCTATGACATTAAGGTATACAAAGCTCCCCCACGTTATCAAACGTTTCAGATGCTTTGTGTTCGCTTGTGAGATGAGATGAACGCGTTCTCTTTTTCTGTCTGTCTGCTTAAAAATTGAATGCAACATCAATACAACATGTTTTAGAAAACGAAAGTGTAAAACCTTGAAATCAAGTTCCAAAGAAATGAAAACTGAAGGACAATTCCAGTTCGAATCAGATTATTTAAGTGATGATGTTCACAAACAACTTTTGAATTCAATGGTTTTCAATCAGGATGAATATGAGTATTCCGAATCCTTTAAAAAAATTATAGGAAATGGTTATGCAAAAGTCGCCAGACAATAAATAAGAACTGGGCCGATCACTTGAAAAATTCGAACCAAAGTCCTCTAAATAACATTATCTGTCTGCCGCAATGCTTAAAAATGTTAAAATAGCAATGTAAAAAAAATAAAATTGATTCAAGAAATACGATTAAAAGGCATTGCTTTTCAACTATACCGTTTCAAAGAGAACTTCTAGCAAATACAACTATGCTGCTTCATAGATACAACCATCGGCTAAATTAACAATAAAAAAGACCCCCACTAATCCATATTAAATTCTTCAACACTGATGGCTTTTTCTTGCAATCGATTTTCCTTCATGTTGAAATTTACGAACCAAGTTCAACCGTATTCGCTATTTTGCCGTCGGTGTCTTTACTAGTTAGATGACTAAGGTATGTTATAACAGATTCAAGAAGCCCAAGTGTGTCAGACCAGTCTACCTGTCAACGTAAAAGGAAGAATACCATCACTCCCAACTATAGTTGCGATCGTCGGGAGCGTTTTGAGTTCAAGAATTCGCCAACTCACTGTGTTTCCCTTTTTCTGATTCACTTATACATTAAATTAAGCTCAAAAATCAAGCATAATTTACAACACTATGCAATAAGCTGTATTTTAATACCATACTTAGCACATAAATCCATTAACTACGATATGGGCTGCCGCAAATGACATCACCGACAAATTATTATAATCAAATATTAGTAAACAAAACGAAGATGACATAGCAGCCTTTGTCAAAAAAGTTATGAAAAACAACCTCATCTCACTATCTCATTGAACATGTAAATTTCAGAATCCATGATAGGGTACTTCTGTGGCTCGAATTTCGGCTGCTTTAAAAATTATTGCTTGACTTCTAATCACACTTAGAAAATCAGATGGCATTTTGTTCGCCTCTAAGATGTGATGATAGTTTTTCTCCCTAAAATTTGAATGCAATATCGATGCAAAATGTTTTACAAAATGAATAAATTCTAATCTTTTTAAACATTCAAATGAAGTTCCCAAAGTAACGAGAACCGATAACGACAATTCCAGTTTGAATAAGATTATTTTAGGGACCATGAAGAACGACATTTGGATTTCAGTGGCTTTCAATCAGAATGAATATACATGTATTGCTTTAAAAAAAAAAAATGTTCAATGAAATGGTTTTGTAAAAGTTGCCCGAAAATAAATTAGAACCATGTGGATCACTTGAAAATTTAATTAAACAAACTCCAATCAGTCCTCTATATAAGATTATCTCTACTGTCGCAATGCTTAAAAAAGAAAGATAATATAATTCAATATCATTAAAATTGATACTTGAAATATGATTAAATGACATCACTTATAGCTGCCGTTTTGAAGAAAACGTCTAGAAAATGCAACTATATATGCTGCTTCATAGATGCAAGCATTAGCTAAATTAGCTAAAAAAAAAAGACCCCAAATAATTCGTCAAAACTGATGGCTTTTTCTTGCCATCGAGTGTCATTCATGAAGAAATTCATGAACCAACTTCATCTGTGTTCGCTATTTTGCCGTTGGCGTTTTTACTAGTTAAATGACCCATCAACAGTTGGGACCGCCCAACTAAAGTGTTTCAGTTTGCGCAGTCCAACTGAAATTTGTTCGACGGATTTTCCTACTTGCATTTTCAACTTGCTGCACAAAGCGATTACAAAATAACAAACTTGCCAAAGACGACAGTGAAGTTGCTTATTATGGTTGCTGTGAATGGATAATACTGGGTTTCAATACTGATTACCATCGACGTAGTTGGTAAAAACGCACCCACTAATGAGCCACGCGTGAGTGAGCACACAGAGTTACAGCCTAATGAGTGTTGCAGTTGGGCCGGCTTGACTGCAACACTTTAGTTGGGACCGATTGTATAGTTGGGGCCTAAAGCCCGGTTCATATTTCATGCGAATGCGAAGCGAATTTGACGTCATGAAACATTTGCTGCAAAATTCGCCCGAGTTGCATTATATTCAACTTTTACAAAAGTTCACAGTGCTAATACTTGCCATTACGACTCAAATTCGCGTTCGCCTTTGTGCGAAATCGCGATGTTGTAACTGAAGGGAGGGCGACTTGTATTTTATTAAATAAAGACACTTTCGCATTGTCATAATACTATCGCGCATAAACAGATTGGATTAAAAACAAAAAAGCCGAACTTGCACCTCGTTGACTGCAGCTAAAGTTATAGCTGGGTGCAATGTTTTCAGTCAAATCCGATGATTTCTTTTTTCGTCAGAATCTTTTTCTGATAAGAATGTAGATAAATAAGCCGTCACATAATAACCCATTCAGTAGTTAAGCCTGCAAGTAGGCCTACAACTGCTCTTCTAACCCAAACGTGCAAAGAGCAAATGTGGCCGAGACACGTGGTATTAGGTACGATTTGGGCAGCAGTACACTTGCGCACGCTCGTTTGGTCTTGGTGTGTTTGCTATGGTACCTTGGTAACAATCGTCGCCATGATGGCATCCAACTATTGCGTGACGGTTTGGTGTAGCCAAGTAGCCCCAGTACAAACTTCGGTAGCCGTGGTCGTAAGCCTCCTTCAATTCGGCCAGGGTGCAGGGATGAGCTGCCAGGTCGGAACAACCTCTGGCCTGCCCAGCACGGTCTGCGAGCTCGTAGCTCTTGGGAGTGATGACTGGGTCTCGGTAGGTCATCGGGAGGGAGCAGCACAAGCCGGGAGACGGGGCGGTCAGCGGCAGGTCGTGGTAGGTCACTCCGGTCTCGTTCAGCACGGCCAGGCTGTCAGGATCAGCGTACCATGAGGGAGGTGTGGTCGGGTAGCCCTCCTTAGAGGCGTGGTCAAGTTCCCACTGAAGGCAGAGGTGTTGGCCGGTCCTACGACACTCGGAGGCGGCTGATGCGTGAGTGTGGTACCAACAGTCAGTCAGGCTAGGAATGCCTATCACAATTCAAAGTCGGTTCATTTCAGAGGTCGATTTCATCATGGAGGTATAAAAACACATTTCATAGAAAGAGCTGCTAAGCTAAGCACAAGTATATATTAACCAAACCAAAATATCAAGATGAATGTTACGACTGGTTATCAGCTGAGCTGATATGCCAGCACTGCCTATTCGCTGAGCAACTATTTCATGAAATTATTAGGCGATCATTTTGGAAACCCTGCACAGTGTACACAGCCTTGTGGTTGCAAAGGCTTTGCGTCTAGTGTTGTTAAACGTTTAATTCGATTACGTTAAGTGAAGCTAAAGATAGAGCAGTGAAATCAATGCACCTAAAAACGTGGCTTTTTTAACGTTCTGTTGGTCAGGAAATATGCTCAGTATGGTAGAAACGTTAATTTTACAGAAGAAGAAATTCTAAACTTCATGTCCGTGAAAAAAATTGCCGTTATTGATGCCGAAACGTCAATACTGCATGGTCAGTGGTAAATCTGACCTAAAAATTGTGGAAAATCGTTTGAAAATGTCCCAAAAGTACAAGTCAAGATACAAGTACAAGTATCTCGATTTCACTTTTGTAGTCCTCACACTCGGTACTTGTACTCGAGTGCTACTTGAGTACTTTTTTTTTTTTTTTTTTTAGAGTACTCGTACTCAGAAGTACAAATACTCGTATTGTACTCGGAAGTACTTGTACTCGGAAGTACCTTTACCAGGCGCGGATCCGAGGGGGGGGGGGGGGGGTCAAACCCTCCCACTCTGTCAAAAATCTGGGTGTTTTTTTTTTCATAGAAATTCATATAAAAATAATGCTACCCCTCCCCCGACACCCTAAAACAACTATACTGGTTATGAAAATCCGACTCCTATGAAAATCGGACCCTCTCCCCTTTATTGGTTAATCCCACGCATGTGCCAGGTTACTCTTCGCACAATGATCCTAAAAATAGCATATTATCGTACGGCTACGCATGCGCAATACTAACAATTAGTCCACATTTCATGGAGTCGGATATTCACGCTACGCAAAATACGGATACAGCCTGCTGGGTTACGGGGGTACTATCCTGTATTATAGTGCGAATAGTCGGCCGATTTGAACATCGCCCCTATTGAAAGTGTGGTACGAGCCCCCCCCCCCCCCCCCCTTATTGATTTTGCGTATATTTTAAGTACTCGGCAGTACTCGGTACAACACTGGGGATACATAGCGGCGGGGAAAAAGGTGACTCGTTAAATCACCACTTTGTGCCGGTTATTTCACAAAACCCCCAAATTTATAAACATCTTGACGTAAACATTTATGCACATTGCCGATATAGCATGCCAGATGAAATAACCACGCAAAATTTGGTGATTTAACAAGACACCTTTCCCAGGCCGCACACACTAATTTTTCCCCGTTGGTGAAGCGAACTTTCATTATTAATTCATTAGTTTCATTGGAGTCATTGTAAGACACTTAGATTCTCTTCATTTGTTTTCTCCTTTTAAATTAAATTATTCAAAGCATAAATTTGGAGAAGAAAAATAGTGTACGAAAAATGGTGATCGGTACTACTGAACCAGTGATCTTTCGATCCATATAGCTTATCTCACTATCCACTAGACTACTGCGGCAGCACATCTTTCAAACGCTATAATAACAATGACGTTTACTTATTTGTTCTCTACATAAATAAACAATTCTCCAATGGAAACTACTGAATTATTCATGATATTGCTTCAACCGCCCACGAGAAAAATAATCACGAACCACACACATAACCCATTTCAGTAATGGTTTCTACCGATCTTTGTACGCGGCTCTGGGGTTTAAGGGATATACATGTAGGCCTATAGCAACACAGGGTTTAAGGGATATACAGCAACACAAGAAATGAATTTTAGAAATAAAGAGAATACATTATTCCACCATTACACCGGTACTTAGGCCAAACATAAAATGGTGTGTTTACGGTAACGGCCTGAAAAAATCCAGGTAGGTAGGGAAATAATTTTATTTTGTATTTTTTTTTTCATTTCAGTTCTGCATGCCCATTAACCATGCGTGTTCTTTCGCAAAAAAATTGTATGAAAACAGTATTCAATTATTCAAGCATTCAAGATATTCAATCGATACATTCATTCCATATTAATATTCGTACCGTCCCAGGGTTCTCCTCAGGATTTGTTCAAACGACCTGCGAAGCCATGGCGTGGGGTTAAAAATGTTGAACTTTAGAAGCTCTCTGTGGTGCATTTTAGAGCAAATCCGGGGGTCTTTAACTTAAGAAATGTCCTTAAAATTCAGAGGAGATCTTGTAAGGCCACTAATATTTTTGTAATTAAAGGAAAAAATCAAATTGTTAACTTAAAAAAAATCAACATTTCACAACCTGTGGTAAAGCTTCCTAAACTAGAAAAGTAGGGCCTATGGATTACATTTACAAGTAAGTTTCAAATTCAGAAATTAAGGTGAAGAAAAAAATCCCTTTTGCTTCCAATTACACGCCTTTTAAAATAGCGTATATGGGGAGAACCATGCCGTCCGTCGGCCAGGCAATTCACCCCGATGCATTTGTGCAAAAATAATCATACTTCATGTAGTTTGAGAATTCAATTGTTGAGATTGTCGCGATTTTCGCACGTTTAACTCAGGTATGTTTGTGTCAAATCATTGTCAGGTTCAAGTTTGGAAAATGGTTTATGTTCGTGGCAAATAATTAAAAGTACTTGAAATTTTAGAAATTTGTTCATTTAAAATTATCAAAACCTTCAAAATGGCAATAAAAAGTTTGAGGTCGGCAATTTGGCAGAAAAAAAATCAAGGTCGGTCGAGTTACCGTAAACACACCATTTTTTTTGTATGGCCTTATTATTCACAGGGATGGGAAATAACAAATGAACGGAAACAAGCATTCCTGAGTAAAACGTTCAGCAGACCATAAATTAACTATAAAGACTTAAATTCATACCTGTTTTATTTCCGGATGCCAGGAGCTGAACAAGTTTTGGCTGAAAGGAGAACGAGGGAAAAGAAACGGATATTTGTGCATGCAAATTTACTTTCTCCAATAATTATTCATGACCTATCTCATCTGCCTTGTTCGTGTCATCAGGGGCGGCGGAACCGGGAAGGAGGGGGGGGGCCTAGATTTACCCAAGTGCCCCTCTTGCTGAGATAAATGTGCCCCCTCGAGCATGTGCCCCTTCGAGATGAAAATAAAACTTGCCCTAAAATTACGGATAATTTGTTTTTAGTTACTATTTCCCAAAATGGTATAGAGAGTTATGATGAACGAGGAATATGAAAACCAAACCCCAAGACCCTTACAATGCACCCTGAAAATGGGCACATAATGCGTAGTTTGCATAAAAGCCGGTTTTGAAGAGCGCCCCCAATTTTGGAAGATGGTACTACCCCCCCCCCCCCCCGCAAAGTATTTGATTTTACGGAGGCCAAATGACCAGTGAAGAAAAAAACCGCGTCGACATTTCAGCACGGATGTACCAATGCTGCATACGTGGCTGCGCGGACGGAAGATGTCTTTTACTGAGCAAGTGCCCCTACCCCCCCCCCCCCCTCGTTTAAAAACCGTTCCGCCGCCGCTGCGTGTCTAGCCTGTAGTCAAGGCGCACGTGTCTACCTGGACGCGTGGTGCCTCAGATTCTGGCACGAAAAAAGACCAGTCGAGTGGCTTCGCCGATCGTGCTAGTCTTTTTACGTGCCAGCATCCGGGGTGCGTCACGTGTCCGGATAAGCGCGTGGGACTTGACTAAAGGCTACTGCGTGTCATGTAACAAACCCTCTTTGACGTACAAGGTGGCGGATTCATTCAAATACAGACAGTCTATGATAGTGGCTGAAGAAGCGAAACAACTGTTTCTGTGTGTAAGTAAATGGTTTTAAAGTGTGGCAGATCGTCTGAACGTTTGTTGAAGATTTTGGCCTTTTTCTAATGGATGTTACATGGACAACCATATTATGAGGTGCACTGAGTAAATTTGGGATATGGCGGTATGTATTGTCAAATATCTGAATAAGGACAACTCCCGAATGAAACGTTAAGTACGTGGTGAGATGAGATAAGTTTTCAATGTACCCTTATATTGTCAAAGAGAACTAAAAGTATACCCGAGAATTAAACACTTGCGGTGACACATCGCGCATGCCTCTGTCAAACAGCTTGCAAATATTTTTGTCTGCAGACTGTCATTGACCGTATAATGTTTTTTCACATTTTCAGTCCCCCACTGAGTGAATTTTCGTTCCTAAAATCAAGTCCTCCTGATCGATAACAATAATTCACCTTTTTCTCGAGGATTTTTTTAAAGGAAGAGAAACATTTTGCTATTAACGGACGCATGTGTATTATGGCCATTGACTTTAATTGATTGCAGAAACAGTATTGGCCCCTTGCCCTCACCTGTCTGTTAGGTTAAAGTTGTTCTACCCGTGCTGTTTTCGAGTTTAACCCTAAAAACCTTTTTTTTTCAAATTAATATATTTTTCCAGCAAAATAATAATTATTTACTTTTTGAATGAGTAATCGAAAAGAAAAAAAACTCCCATGTTTTAATAGTTTTGAAAGAATTACTTTACATATCTCGAATTATTTGGGGCACAACAATTTTTCAGTCTTATCTGTTGCGGAGCAACCCGAAATAAAAGCACATTTTCAGAAGGTTGAAAACGTCAAAAAGCGAACAAAACAGCCGTTTTGTTTATACAAAATATACAAATTGTGAAAAAAAATGAATGAGTTGGAAAGCAGGGGCACGTCAACTTAAAAAAAACACACAGCGAATCTGCCTTTGATGTATAAAAAAGGAAACACAAGTCATACAGAAAAAAACGAGCAATATTTTGCTCCAGAGCCTGCAATGAAACACAATTCGTTCTGTATGAGATAGACGACTCACGGGCAATATTCTGTATCCGGCTCGTTAGTAAAAACGTCATACACGCGCACGCACCACTGATTACTAGCGCCCATTGGCTGCAAACGCTCGAACTGCGTTAACTTCCGGTTCCAATCGTGCAGAAACACTAACGAACCGGATAGACAAATCGATCTTTGTGTAATGAACGACAATACACACTCAAATTGCGGTACAGTTTCGACTCCTTGTTGAAACGCATGCGTCATTGTGACAATAATGACAGCGCTAACTGCAATAAGGCCTTTCTTTCGATGCAACTGCCGTAGATATTAAAGAAAAGCAATCTTATTCTAAAAAACTATTGATTTTTACGACTTCTAACTTTTTTCTTAGTATTTTTGTGCGATGTGACCGAATATTAACAAATCATTTCGAAAGTCTGCATCAGGGTTGGCGATGTTTTGATTTTGATTTTTGTACATGGATTTAAATCAGATTTAAAAAATTTTTAAATCGGATTTTGATTTTTTTTTACTTTGGAAATATTTATTTGTATCAAAATATGCCTAAATCTACCCACACACTCTTACACCCACCAACAAGAAGTTTCAGGTTCCTATAATACCCATCATTAACAAAACGTAATTCAGTATTCGAAAATTTCAGACAAAAATTCCCAATTAAGTGCATTGAAAAAATGCATTGAATCCGTTAATATTACAAAAAATTCACTTGATTTCATTTACATGTACGTCAACCTCATTGGTACAAGGGTACATAAATATTGAAGAAACTTTAAAGGTGTGTGGCTTTATTGATACGGTCGATATGTACATTGTGTGGTGGATATGGATGAAACACGAGTTAGTTTCGGTACATTTTATACCAAAAACTATGAGCACAGTTCTCTCTGTGCATGTATATTTTATAAATATGGTTCTTATTTCACAACGACGGCACTGCTGCTAGCGAACATTTTAGAAAGAACGTTTGTTTGATGGATGGTCCTTCATACAAGATGGAGTCCGGAGAAATTATATAATGAAATCAGGCCTAGAAAAGTTAGAAATAAAAGTGTCTATTGGGACATGTACCTTTAGTTGGTTTAGGTAAGCCTACACCTGCACAGTTGATTCATATTATTACTGTTAACAGATCTTGGAATGATTAAAGCAAAAGTGAGTGTTCTGATTGAGCAATTCATTGATATTGTAGAAGAGCTTAAAATTCAAACTTCGAAGAAAAACATTTAGACTTCTTGAATTTAATCCAAACAATGATTTTGGATAATATGCAATGGCTGCACGTACGTTGAGTCGATGCAGATGAGGTATAGAGGTGTTGGAATGTGTTACCGACACCGTACACTTTTGTTATTAAATAGAATCAGTTTAATGATTAAAATGACCCTCAATCAAGCTGAGAATCTTTCACAATGGAAAATTATATAGCAACAGCCAACCTTTCTAACCACATATCTGTATGAAATAAAATTATGCTTGGCTGGTTTAACTTTAAGACCGGATGCATGGACGCTGATAATAGCCCAAGCCGAAGGCGAGGGATCTTATTGGCGACCAGACCCCTCTGCCGGTCTTAAACGGACTTGTTTATTACCGGCCAAGCACATATTTATTCTCATGCATAAATACCTTTTCGGTCAAAGAGTCAAAAGAAGTCAAAAAACATTTCCAACGATTTTGATCAACAATTTTACTTCATGTTTTTTAACCACCCCTCTCGCTATGTTATGGTATGTGCTTCTCGCAAGCTGTCGGAAACAACTCCATATGAAGATTGGAGCGCGCGTGGCGTGTACTGCGCGATGTGGCGCAGAACGAAGCTGTGTTGGTGTAGTGTGAATTTAGGACTAGATACTGACCCATTGGTAGTATTGCGCGAGCCTACGTGAGTATTGCGAACAATCAACCAATAAGTATTCATTTTGTGTCAGGTAAAAAAAATCAATCTGTTTATAGGGTGCACAGACCTAATTCAAGCGAGAATTTCTACGCCAGCTGATTAGCATAAAAAGTGCCCCCACAATTTCTTTTGAAAACGGAGACCGTTTGGCTTTAAAAACGGTGGAATTGTTTAAATATACCCAAGGATCAACTCCCTGGTTTTGGGGCTTCCATCTGAGGGCAGGCTTGATAAAATCACGGACGACAAAATGGGTCCTATTTGCCTGTGAAAGTGGAAGGGTGCCACTCTTAAAATGGCTACATGCAGGCTCGGGAACTATCACTTTTCGGCAGGTGATTTTATTTGGGTGTGAATATTTAAAAATGTAATTGGCTACGGTACGTAAAATTGAAAAGAAATGAAAAGATGAAAGACAAGACAATGACTAAATTTTTGTTTCAGAAATCCCAGTGATGTTGGCTTGCATGTTACTTGGCCCTGAACTTTGTTGATTTTACACTGTTTTCAATGGGGCTTGAATTAGTACAGTGGACCCTATATATATATTTCAAAATGGCGGCCTCCAGTACTCATGCGGGCGGGGGACTTGAATACAGTTTTTTTTGTTTACGTTCGTCGTAGAACTCGATAAAGAGACAAAAACTAGCTTTGGGAGACAGTTTTCTGGATTGTGAACAGAATAAGGCCTGGATAGGGCATAGCCTCATCCAAAGTGCATTATTGATGTACATGTACATGATATTCAGACTTAACTGGCTACAGTAATATAACCCTAGCTCAGGCCGACTTCAACCCTAACGGAGGGTATAAACCTAATGGAGAGCACCCCTAACGGATCGTAACCCTAACGGGAGGCAACCCTACCGGATCGTAACCCTAACGGGAGGCACCCCTAACGGATCGTAACCCTAACGGGAGGCAACCCTACCGGATCGTAACCCTAACGGGAGGCAACCCTACCGGATCGTAACCCTAACGGAGGGCAACCTTTGTGAAACGTAACCCTAACTGGAATGGTGGTGGTGGTGGTGGTGGTGGTGGTGGTGGGGGGGGGGGTGTTGTTGTTGTTGTTGAAGGGGGTACTCGGTGTGGGTGGTTGGTTAGGGGTGGGGATGGGGTGGCGGTGGATGGGGGTATCCTTTAAAGACATGAGCCTTCTAAGTAAAACCTTCAATGACCAAGAAACATTTCCTCCCCACCCTTTTCAAGAAAACCACGCCCACTCCACACAAAGGAATTTAATATTTAAATAATAAAAAAAAATCAAAGAAAACAAGCAAACAAAATAAAAATGCTCCCATGCGCTCAGCCAACAACCCATACACCCTCACCCACGCACATTTGGCAACAATAGAACTTTATTAAAATGATGCTATCATTATTTCTGAAGACATTGCAGATTCCGTGTGTGTGCTGGTTTCAACTGAGGAACCAGATTCTGAGGAACCAGAAATTTCATGTGGCACTGGAAAAATGTTTAAGACCAGCCAACCGGTGTTTTATGAATCGTTTAAGACCGGCCACTTGACGGGCTCGCGACCAATAGGAATGGGTATAAACTGTTTAAGGTAATTATGAATGATAATTATATATGTATAAAAATAAACAGATTACGCACTTATTACTGCATGCGAAAAACAAATTTTTAAAAAATTGCCCTTAAGACTTATTTCCTGCAATCCGATCACATTTGCTTTGATTTTGTTTGTTTAGTTATGCATGACACAAGCCTTAAATGAACAGAAAAACCTATAATAGGAACAGAAGTGAATAATTTATACCTCTTCCGGACCGTAGTAGAAGATACCCTCCATCTCAATGAGTTCCATCGGGTATCGCGACGCTGTGGCCCCGTTCAACTCACACCGCCTCTCCCCCTCCGAGTAGTGGAAAGAGAAGCAGCGATCATCGATAAGACACTCCCTGCCGCACAGGACCGGCGAAGCTACCGTCAGGTTGCGGTGGTCGTGACCGGGCAGGACGCGGTTCGCCACGCCGTTGAAACCACGCTCAAGGCCCCACGAGCAACCCCTGACGCAGGTTGCATTCTCTTGACAGTAGGGACTAAAGAATGCATTGGCCAAAGCGTAACAGGCGAAGGTTATGAAGAAAACTGCAAAAATCTGTTTCATGCTTCCTTTAATTAGCTAAAAACATCTAGATATTTGGTGGTAATGATTGTTTAAATGGCTAAACAGCTCAGTAGCCGGACAACGTAAGCCGTGGCAAAAGTAAAGATCAGCATCAGGAGATCAATCCTCGGACTCCAGAGTGAGAATGTTTTATGCAAAGTGGTCTGTGGTATCACCGGCGCATTCGGCGCATGCGAACGAAATAGCTTTCAGTGGATGCGCCGGTGATTACACGGACCACTTTGCATAAAACATTGCGAATGCCATGCCGTAGTCTGTATTCATATGCACTCTTGACGAAAGTAATCGGAAAACGGGCTTTGTCTCGATCGATGCGCATGCGCGGTTATTTTGCAAATAATTGTCTGTCCCCGGAAAATTTACCAAAAACAGCCCCTTAGGTTTCCATGCATAAAATTTAAATACCAAATTGTATTTAAAGAAAAAAGCAAACAAAAATGAAATACTTCACAAAAATTGTTCGTAGCATTTCGTAAAGTTGTTTATGAACATTTTGAAAATGAAGGCAAGATAATGTGCAGTAATGTTAAAGCCACGTGGTACATAGCGCGCTTTTTTATGGGAAACTTTAGAGGGCTTATTTTGGTCAATTTTTAGAGCGTGATTTTCGCGTGGGACGACGGCCCGGGCTTGTACGCACAATCGTTTCATGCAAGACTTTCTTGCAAGGCGGCCAGAGCTTACTGGGCACTCGCACTTGTTGACAGTAACGGCCTTTTTTTTTACAGTGAGATATATTAATGTCAGTTTCCACAATAAAGAGCAAATATGTAATATCTTGGGCCAGAAGCCTCCACGTCGGAAGCATTTAGGGTTCAAAAATTTTGCACCAGTGGTTAACTCGCTTTTTTGTTTCCATTTTTTTTATCCACTTATACATTTATTTCAGTTAAAAACCTAAAAAGTTACCACTATGTGCAATAAGCTATATTTTAATTTCATACTTAGTACATAAATCCATTAACTGTGATAATAGTAACAATAATAATAACCGTAGTGCTTATATAGCGCTTTCCATCGTATTAGCAATCTCAAAGCGCTGTACACTTATTTCCCCGTTTAGCAGGCCACGGGACCACGCGGCAGCCGATATCAGCGCCCAATCGGTCCTCGACCCACACAGGTACCCATTTATACTCCTGGGTGGAGGGAAACAATTGTATTTAAGTGTCTTACCCATGCACCGTGTTCCTGGCGGGATTCGAACCCACGCACCATATCCGTACGTGAGTCAAACACCGTAACCACTGGGCCATGGCGTTCTATGGTATGGGCTGCCTTAAATGCCAACAGCGCCCTCATGTTGTCAAACGTTTCAGAAATGATGCTCTGTGTTCGCTTGTGAGGTGAGACGAACGCGTTCTCTTTTTCCGTCTGTCTGCTTAAATAATTGAGTGCAACATCGTTGCATCATGTTTTAGAGAAAACAATAGTGTAAAACCTACAAAAAAAGTTCAAAAGAAATGAAAACTGAAGGACAATTCCAGTTTGAATCAGATTATTTAAGGGATGATGTTCATAAACAACATTTGAATTGAATGTTTTTCAATCAGGATGTATATGAGTATTCCGTATTCATAAAATAAAAAATTATAGCAAATGGTTATGCAAAAGTCGCCAGAAAATAAATAAGAACAGTGTGAATCACTTGAAAAATTCGAACCACAGTCCTCTAAATAACAGTATCTGTCTGCCGCAATGCTTAAAATAGAAATGTAATGATTCAATATATTAAAATTGATTCATGAAATACGATTAAAAGGCATTGCTTTTCAGCTACCGTTTCAAAGAGAACGTCTAGAAACTACTATGCTGCTTTATGGATACAAGCATCGGTTAAATTAGCTAAAAAAAAGACCCCCAATAATCCAGAATTCTTCAAAATGATGCCTTTTTCTTGCCATCGATTTTCCTTCATGTTGAAATTTACGAACCAACTTCAACCGTATTCGCTATTTTGCCGTCGGTGTTTTATATTAGTAAGATGACTAAGGTATGTTATAACCCATCCAAGCCAAGTTTTGTCAGACCAGTCTATATCTTTCAACGTAAAAGGAAGTTACGTCCCAACTATGCCATCACTCCCAATTATAGTTGTGATCGTCGCGGGAGCGTTTTGACTTCAAGAATTTGCCAAATATTTTGCAATTCCCGGGGTCAACGCATTCCGTTTTCCTTTTGTTCTGATTCACTTATATATTAAATTAAGCTCAAAAATCAAGCATAATTTACAACACTATGCAATAATCTGTATTTTAATTCCATACTTAGCACATCAATCTATTAACTGCGATATGGGCTGTCTTAAGTGACATCACCGACAATATCAAATATTATTAAACAAAACGAAGATGACCTATGAGCCTTCGCCAAAAAAGTTAAGAAAAACAACCTCATCTCACTATCTTATTGAATATGTAAATTTTAGAATCTATTGTAGTTTATTTTCGGGGCTCACATTTTGGCTGCTTTAAAATTATTGTTTGATATCTATACACACTTAGAAAATCCGATTGCATTTTGTTCGCCTGTGAGATGTGTTGATAGTTTTTTTCCCCTGTCTCTCTACTTAAAAATTGAATGCAATATCGATGCAAAATGTTTAACAACATGAATAAATTCTAATCTTTTTAAACTTTCAAATGAAGTTCCCAAAGTAACGTGAACTGATAACGACAATGCCAGTTTGAATAAGATTATTTCAGGGATCATGAAGAACGACATTTGGATTCAATGGCTTTTAATCAGAATATACATGTATTGCTTTTAAAAAAACATGATCAATGAAATGGTTTTGTAAAAGTTGCCCGAAAATAAATTAGAACCATGTGGATCACTTGAAAATTTAAGTAAACAAACTCGAATCAGTCCTCTAAATAAGATTATCTCTACTGTCGCAATGCTTAAAATAGAAAGATAATATAATTCAATATCATTAAAATTGATACTTGAAATATGATTAAATGACATCACTTATTAGCTGCCGTTTTGAAGAAAACGTCTAGAAAATGCAACTATGCTGCTTCATAGATGCAAGCATTGACTAAATGAGCTAAAAAACACACCAAATAATTCTTCAAAACTGATGGCTTTTTCTTGCCATCGAATTTCATTCATGAAGAAATTCACGAACCAACTTCATCTGTGTTCGCTATTTTGCCGTTGGCGTTTTTACTAGTTAAATGACTATGTTATAACCCATCAACAGCTGGGACCGCCCAACTAAAGTGTTTCAGTTTGCGCGGTCCAACTGAAATGTGAAGCAGGGATATCGGCGGGACGCGAATTTTTTTCTCCCAAACGACATCCACATATGGGTGTACGTTATGGCGTTTGGGACTTAACTTTTATAAAAACATGAGAAGAAAATATAAAATTAGAAGAAAAAAAAGTGAATTTGAACGTTTTGAAATTCGGACTTTATCTCTCTTTTTCAACTGGCTGCACAAAGCGATTACAAAATAACAAACTTGCCAAAGACGACCGTGAAGTTGCTTATTATGGTTGCTATGAATGGATAATACTGGGTTTCAATACTGATTGCCATCGATGTAGTTGGTAAAAACGCACCCACTAATGAGCCACGCGTGAGTGAGCGCACAGAGTTACAGCCTAATGAGTGTTGCAGTTGGGCCGGCTTGACTGCAACATTTTAGTTGGGACATCCCAATTACATGTATATAGTTGGGACCGATTGTATAGTTGGGGCCTTAAGCCCGGTTCATACTTCATGCGAATGCGAAGCGAATTTGACGTCATGAAACATTCGCTGCGAAATTCGCCCGAGTAGAATTATGTTCAACTTTTACAAAAGTTCGCCAATGCTAATACTTGCCATTACGACTCAAATTCGCGTTCGCCTTTGTGCGAAATCGCGATGTTGTAACTGAAGGGAGGGCGACTTGTATTTTATTACATAAAGAAACTTTCGCATTGTCATAATACTATCGCGCATAAACAGATTGGATTAAAAACCAAAAACGTGCAGAGGCCAAATGTGGCTGAGACACGTGGAATTAGGTACGATTTGGGCAGCAGTACACTCGCTTATGCGTGGCTGGTCTTGGTGTGTTTGCTATGGTACCTTGGTAACACTCGTCGTCCTTATGATGAGTGCATCCATCAACCCTTGCATCACGGTTTGGAGTAGCAAAGTAGCCCCAGTATAAACAACCTCGGTAGCCGTGGTCGTAAGCCTCCTTCAGCTCGGCCAGGGTGCAGGGATGAGCTGCCAGGTCGGAACAACCTCTGGCCTGCCCGGCACGGTCGGCTAAATCGTAGCTCTGCGGAGTGATTACTGGGTCTCGGTAGGTCATCGGGAGGGAGCAGCACAAGCCGGGAGACGGGGCGGTCAGCGGCAGGTCGTGGTAGGTCACTCCGGTCTCGGTCAGCACAGCCTGGCTGTCAGGATCAGCGTACCATGAGAGAGGTGTGGCAGGGTATCCCTCCTTGGAGGCGTGGTCAAGTTCCCATTTCAGGCAGAGATGCTGTCCTGTCTTACTGCACTCAGGAGAGACTGATCCGTGAGTCTGGTACCTACAGTCGGTCAGGCTTGGAATACCTAGTAAATAATCCAATATTCGTTTCAGGTGTTGATGTCATAGAGCTGCTTAGCACAGGGTATTTGTCAAACCAAAATATCACGATGTATATCGTGATTGGTTATCAGCTGAGTTTCCCATCACACAAATTTGCTGAGGAATAAATTTCATGCGATGATTCCCCCACAATCCCTGCACGGCCCATACGGAGGGGCACCAGTGGTAGCCACACTATCGTCCATTGACCAGAGCGAACTTGGGTTATGCAAATTTAATTGGAGCCTTTTGCTAGAAACAACATGAAGGCTGTCGATTGGTCTATAGCCGTCAGCTACCGAAATCAAGCAGTGGCTGCAAACTAATTAAGCGTTGCCGAACGCAGCGTTTAAACAGGCTTGCCCGCCCCTTCAGATCAAGCAAATACATGTACATCGCCGGCTATGGACACCATGTACCAAGACGTGCAGCGGATCAGCCCCCAGGATGGTTTTTAAGCCCGGTTCATACTTCATGCGAAAGCGAATGCGAAGCGAATGTGACGTCATGAAACATTCGCTGCGAAATTCGCCCGAGTTGAAGCATGTTCAACTTTTACGAATTCGCAGCACGAACACTTGCCATGACGTCACAAATTCGCGTTCGCTTTCGCTTTCGCGCCGAGTATGAACCGGGCTTCAGGGATAACAACAGAGGGCGCTATAAGCAAATGAAGTTAACTCTTTTCAACTGAAGGAAAGAAGAGCAGGAATTCTTCCACCATTATTACGCTTAAATAGTTTAAAAGAAATTACAAATAACTGGAAACAGTTATAAGTATATCGTTTAGCTACCCACAAATTAACCAAAGAGTTCAAATTCATACCTGTTTTATTTCCGGATGCCAGGAGCTTAACAAGTTTTGGCTGAAACAAATTAAGGGGGAAAAACAGAAGAGAGTAATAACCATAAACATCAAAAGATTCGGCGTTTTTCTTTTGTCTGTCGTTACTAATTATTTTCTCCAATTATTTCAGTACATGACCTTTTTGCCCTGTTTCTATGACGTAACAAACATCTTTAAGTTTGACTTGCAAGGTAACGTACAAAAACATCGAGGCCAGATTGTTTTGAATAAGCCAAAAAGAAAGAGCGTTTCTTAGTGTAAGTGAAGGTTTCTAAATGTGGCAGATTGTTAAAACGTTGGTTGAAGATTTTGGCCTTTTTTGTAAATGGATGTCACATGGACAAACATTGATGTGAAAGCCACTGTTCATGAGTTGCACTGAGTAAATTATAGGATGTGGTGGCTATGCATTGTCAAAATAATATCTGAGTGCCAAGTAGGACAATATAATGATTACCTTGACTATTATAATATTGATAATAATAATAAGGAATATTCACGCGATTTATGACGCGCATTTTCACAAGATACAGGAGAACTCCCGAAGATAAAGTTCTTCGTCTTCCAAGTTTTGCGCCAACTTCATATTGTTGAAAACTAAGGCACACGATGTTCGGTGCACAACTTGTGGATGGAGTGTGTAGCCTACTATTTTGACACTGGAGACCCAATGATGGTGACAATTTACCCTTATTGTCGGGAATTTTGCATTCCTGACACGTATGCGTATACGTGTAAAGTCATACGGATACAGATAGGTGCACAGTATTTTGTCCACGATTTGTTGCCGAACCCCTCCATAACTTTTTATACCGCACGCTACACTCGGGCAGTACGGTATGATACGCGGCGGCGTGGCGCAAGCCAGTTAAACCCGGACATTTACCGGCTTGGTCTTTTTTTTTACGCATATGCATATTGGGACCGAGGTTGCACTAAACATTTCCCGCTTGTACCGCACGAACGCTACACGTAACGGCCTGGACGGTACTGTATGCGTACAAGGGCGGATCCAGAACACAATTTTTTTTGGGGGGGCCAAAAAAAAATTTGGTCCTCCAAAAAAGTGGGTCCAAAAATTACGGCGTGGGGTTCGGGGCCCGCTTAAGGGCCCCGAAAATTTTTTGGATTCTAGATGCTCTGTGGTGCGATCTGAGGCAATTTCTGACCACTTTAACCAATGTTTTTTTGAGGAAAAGATGGTGGTGTACTCATTGCCTGCCTTTTTTGCGATGTCACATAAAAAAAAAAAAAAATGGTTTCGTTTTTGGGGGGGGGGGGCATGGCCCCCTTTGGCCCCCCCCCCCTGGATCCGCCCTTGTATGCGTATAGTACACATTGTCAACGCCAGTGCCGGTACGCAGCCGCGCGGCGCAGGCAGACTAAACCCAGCCAATTTCCGGCTTGATTTCAAGTCTATCGTACCCCCGCCCTGCAAACAGGACGATGGAAAGGGCTTATCTCTTTGTAACATCACGCTTCGCTGGTCTCAAACTATAACCCAGACAACTTTCATGCCTCAAAAAGCTACGAAAATCCCAACATTTCCCGCAATATCACCCTCAATATCACTCCCAAGGCAATGTGAGATGTATTATGCGTCATATAATAAAGTTAGAGGTAATTAAAGACATCATTAATTCGGCACAAGTTTGGTGTAAAATCGAGAAACTTTCATGCGTATCAATATTCCCGCATCACGTATGAAAGGGCACAACAAGTGATGACGTCACACGCACCATCCATACGGATACGAGATTGGGGATTAATCTCTGCGGGAACGTTTAGTGCAACCTCGGCCCAAATAAATTATGTGCGTGCGTCGATTCTAATACTGACTTGAAACATCTGCAAACCCTTGTACACGAGTATATGGAGCTTGTCACCAAAATTGGACGGAGCACTCTGATTGGCTAAGAATCCGGAGGATACGAATAGTTATCCGACTTAAATTGCAAAAAATTCCATTTTAGAAACGGTGTAGCATGCTGTATAAGATTTTTAAATAAAGGGTTCTTGACTTCCATGTTATACGAACGTACGAACATGTAAAAGAAAGGGTATAATTTTCCATTTGAGAAACGGTGTAGCATTCTGTATATATGAGGGGAAAAATGGTTCTTGACTTTCACGTAAACTTACGAAAATGTATATGAAAGAGCATTTCATTTGAGAAATGGTGTAAGTAAAGAGGTGCAAGTTTGCACAGTAATTAGGTCATTGGTGTTTCTTTATTTCCCGCTCCAATTTTTTGTAGGAATGGAGTGATGCAGGCATCATTACCTTCCAAAAGAATGGAGAGGTATCGCCTCCAACGCTCCATTCGTGCGAATTAATGGAGCGCTAGGACAATAGGGTGACGTCACTGGTGGAGTTTAAGTATGGAAAGATCGATTTTCCGAGTTGTGAATGACAATACACGCTTCGCAGTACGTTTTCGACTTGATGATTGGAACGCATGCGTCACTTTTAACAATGGCAGCGCTAGCTACAGTAAGGCCCGTCTTCAAATGCAACTGCGGTACAAATTGCAGAAACCCATCTCTTAATTAAAAAGTATGGATTTTTGTGTGTGAGATGTGACCGAATATTACAAATCACTTCGACAGTCTGTATCTTAAAGCGCCATGCGGTGCTCACGAGATAAACGGAAAATGTTTCTGAGGGGAATTGTTTGAAAGTCATATATTTTGCTCTTTTTAAGTACCTGAAGTTGTTACGTCCTGATGAAGCGTCACTGGTACCGTCTTCCAAAATAGGGGGCGCTCTTCAAATCGGCCATTATGCAAACTACGCATCATGTGCCCATTTTCAGGGCGCATTGTAATGGTTTTGGGGCTTGGTTTTCATATTCCTCGTTCATATCAGAACGCTCTATATCATTTTGGGAAATGGTTACAGAAAACAAATTATCGAAAATTTGAGGGCCAGTTTTTTTTCATCTCGTGGGGCCACATTTATGTCCGCAAAAGAGACACTTGGGTAAATTGGGGGGGGGGGGGCGATTCCGCCGCCCCTGAGTTCTGGAGGCCTTTTAACAGTGGATAATTTGACACAATAGAAATTAGTTTGGAACAGCCAACCTTTTCAACCACATTTCTGTACACATTAATGATAAATACATACAATGTCATGTATATATGTATCAAATTAAACAAATCACGCACCTCTTACTGCATGCGAAAAACTAATTAGTGAAAATTTGTCCTTAAAATTAATTTCGTGGAATCCGATCACGTCTTGCTTTTATTGTTTTGTTTGTTTACGCATGACATCATAAGCCTTAAAATGGACATAAAAATCTATAATAGGAACACAAGTGAATTCATACCTCTTCCGGACCGTAGTAGAACATACCCTCCATCTCAATCAGATCCATCGGGTATCGCGACGCTGTGGCCCCGTTCAACTCACACCACATCTCCCCCTTCGAGTAGTGGAAAGAGAAGCAGCGATCATCCATAAGACACTCCCTGCCGCACATGGCCAACGAAGGTACCGTCAGGTTGCGGTAGCCGTTGTCAGGCAGGACCTGGTTCGCTACGCCGTTGAAATAACGCTCCAGGACCCACGAGCAACCCCTGACGCAGGTTGCATTCTCTTGACAGTAGGGTCTAAAGAATGCATTGGCCAAAGCGTAACAGGTGAAGCTGAGGAAAACTGCAAAAATCTGTTGCATGCTTCCTTTTATTTAATTAGCTAAAAACATGTAGAGATTTGGTGGTAATTATTGTTTAAATGGCTAAACAGCTCAGTAGCCGTACAACGTAAGTCGTGGCAAAAGTCCAGATCAGCGTAGGGCATTTATCAGTCCTCAGACTCAAAGGCTTAGCTGAGAGTGAATGTTTTATCGCTTAGTGGTCTGTGATAGGCTATCACCTCCCATCACCAGCGACCTCGTTTGCATGATCCAACCTCGTTCCTATGGTGTCGATCGAGTAGGCTCCTAGATCATCTGCATGTTCAAAAATTACAAGCAAAGTGGAAATGGGGAATGGTTTGAGGTGGAGTGGCGTACGTAATAAATCACATTGAACGTTAATACACAATATCACTCCATTACTTGTTATTGCTGTGGCGAATCAGGATACAGGAATAATGTTTCCCACCCTGGAGTTACTAAATGGAAACGAGGTTGAAAATAAAGTAACCCCGGGACCAGGTAGCACATATTATCTACTTCCATTGGCCATATTTGAGCGAATGAGGGCCTTAGGCTCTTTAATTAAAAACAGTAAATATATCATGACAGCACTTTTAAAATTGTATTTCAATCTAAAATTAACAGCTAAAAAAAACACTGTAAACTGTCGTCGGTGACCTGGGATCTCGTTTTGTTTGTATTCCGAAAACGTCGTCTGACAGCGTCATGGTTCAGAAATATTGCCTATTCAACCTCGTTCCCAATAGTCAGTGGTTACTATTGCTTCCCATATGCTGATTCATCACTGCAACTTCATCTATTTTACATTACATGGTTCCTGAGCGCCCTCTTCTATACTTATTTGATACTTACGCAGGTATTGTAATATTTTTCCAAGATTTGTCGAGCAGTGCGACTGTTGGATAAACTCCAAGCTCACAAATCACCTGGGATTGACAACATTTCGCCTATGCTCATTAAATTGGCTGCCAAAAGTTTAGCTTATCCCTTGACCAAGATTTTTAACTCTTTTCTTGCTACGGGCAAGGTACCATCGGAATGGAAATTCGACAATGTTGTTCCAATTCATAAAGTTGGGACTCCTCACAACCCCTCTAATTATAGACCAGTCTCCCTCTGTTCTGTGGTTAGTAAATGTCTCGAAAAAAATTGTAGCTAAACATCTTAATACTGATCACATGTACAGAGGTGGTATCATTTCCGACTGTCAGCATGGTTTTCTTCCAAAAAGGTCTTGCGTTACTCAACTGACGACTGTTTATCATGATTGGGCTAAAAACATTAGATATCCCTAATCCACCTAGAATCGATGTCATATACTTGGACTGGTCGAAGGCCTTTGATCTCGTTAGTCACAGTGTCCTCCTCCAAAAGTTGTGGGTCATACTCGGACTGGGTCCCAGTTCCTTCTGGGGTCCCTCGGGGGTCTGTTTTGGGCCGACTTCTCTTCAATATCTTTGCCTTTGATTTACCTTTTTGTGTAAATTCAAGTTTAATTAAGGCAGTATGCGGACGACACTGTGATTTATAGGACTATCTATAGCAAGTATGATGAGCTCACATTACAAAATGATCTATGTAGCATAGTTACCTGGTGTAATCTCAATCATATGAAGCTTAACATTGACAAATGTAAACTGATGTCTATTACTCGCTCCAGAACCCCACACAGACCCACATAGACCCACATATCAGATTGATTCTCGAAACTTGGCTTTTGTTGATCACCATAAATATCTTGGGTTGGTTATCTCCAGAGATCTTTCCTGGAGTCGTCATGTAAATTCAGTTGTCTCAAAAGCTACTAAGATGTCTGGTTTTACTCGAAGACTCGGTTAACTGTAAAGACCCTTATATTCTTGTGACACTTTACAGCTTTCTTGTCAGACCTATTCTTGAGTATGCTGCCCCAGTTTGGTACTCAAGTTCTCCTTCCCGACTAACATCATTGGAAGGAGTTCAGAGGAGATATACTCGTTCCTGCTTGGGCCTTTCAAGACGTCATTTGCCAAATTCCAGCAGGGATAATATAGAGTACTCGATCCGTTGTTCCAAGCTGGGTCTGTCCTAATTAACGAATAGGTTAAACTTCTTGCCAGTTGTTTTTGTAGCCAAATGCATAGACAAATTCGACATTGAATCAGAGAGCTGTATCAACCTTTATCCTAGACACGTTGACGAGGTTAAATTTATTCACCATTATTCTAGAACTAAAGCTTTTCATGAGTCACTTTTTGTCAGATTTCCCCGTTTGTGGGACACCCTGCCCGCAGACGTTGTGGATAGCCTGATCTTTGGTCTGAACACTATCATTGCTAAACTGAGGTTACACTGGCTGACTCCTGGTGTGAACTACATGTCTCCCTAAGTTTATACAGACGGGACTTTGCTAAACCTTATCCACAATACAGTTGGCCCTTTTTAGGTGTTTTTACATGATGATCATAATGCAGACAACACCTGTGCGCAAAAAAATTGATTTCATCATCAGACCGGAATTTAGAGGGAAAAGACCTCTTTTCCTTTGAACATTCCTGGAAAATCAACCCTGAGGGATTTAATCTCGATGTGTCGGTTTAAATGGCAGATTAGAAATAGGTCTAAAACTTCCTCATGTTTCGTGCCAATAAGTGAACTTTTAGATGTCATGCAGCCCCCTTGAAATGTGAAGTTGACGACGCCTACGTCTTGTAACGTTTGTTGTGGACAGAAAAATTTATGAATGAACGTTTGTTTACATTCTTTGCAAGTGCCGATGGAGGGCGCTCTTTCAGTAACCAAGTATCGAACACGGAAGTGAAAAGCGACTGTTATTTTGTAGAGAATTATTGATCGAAATCACTTCATTTTGGGAGAACTGTAGTAGTTTGAGGCCACAAACTGAACTGATAATTGACTGTACTATCAGCTGAGTAAGATCACTTTGATTGGTTGTGTACGAAGTGCCATTTTGGTTTTGCACTGGTTGCTTCTTCGTCGCTTAAATATTTGGGGGTTTTGTTTGTCGGTTGTTTGATTTTTTGTTTGACTTCCATGATCTCTTTTTTTAAATTTTTTTTTTAATATTAAGTTATCTTGGGGGTGTTTTCCTTGCTTTTCTGTGTTAATATGGTGCAATATATAAAGTTATTACACTAATTTCACGAATTTGTGTTATTTTAAAGGGTTTTTCTTTTCGCCCATGGGATTTTGTGCTACAGTGTAAGTACTTAGTCTGCTATAATGTTTGTTTTTTTGCAAAATAGGGTTTTTAGTCATGCTATGGGCGAGCTACTTGACAGTGATTTAGTTCACTTTTGAGCAATCCCGCAGGGGCGTGCAACTATTTTGGTGTAAGGGTTTTAGTCTTTTTATAAGGTTTAATGTGTATTTTTTAAAATGTGTCTTTTTATGGTTATACTGTTATACTGTTATAATAATATACTGTAATATTATTATTTTTGTTTTACCTATTGTAAATTTGACCTGCGAAATAATGAATGAAATGAAATGAAAAAAAAAACAAGTCCTGGCTAGCCCCTGCTGGACCGCTATGCGTTCAACTGGAAATCAAGTCGTTCGTTGACTCAACTTTATGGAACGCCGTAGCAGGTTAAACAACCCTGTGTACCTTTCAGCACTGATGAGGCGAGTAGTGCCCCTTCATGTCTGACCGGTCTGACTCCCAATCAGAATGAATATGCAAATTCACTTATCTTCATGAATATATTTTCAATGGTGGCGTCCTTGAATACAATACAAGAGAACCACGACGTATGTATTATATTGCACGTCCAGGCAGTTTGTGCATTAACTAACAAGGCCGAAATGCATGTAGTTCAACGTACGTAGGTGGCAAACTGCTGTTCTTTGTGACTCGCGCAAGGACCATGGTTCAAGCTGCAAGGCCCCGGCCATCCTGGCGATGGATGGTCCTACTCTCTCGGACATTCTTTGCCTTCATCGCCCTCGGAACATTGAAGGCGATGGGAGTGTTCATCCCACTCTTCGTTGAGGAGTTTTCGACCACAACTGCGGCTGCTGGCCTGGTCTGTATTCTGCCTATCGGACTGGGATTCATATCAGGTGTGTGTTTAGGTCAATGATTAAACCTGTTCCCACCCTAGCTTGATTGTTATTTGTCAAAAAAGAAAAAAAAAAGGGTATTTCGGGCAGCGACGTAGTTCCGGGGGGGGGGGGGCTACTCCCCTTAAAACAAATCGCGTCGCCCCCACTGAAAATTTGGCAAGGGGCGGAGAAAAGCTGCAGTCATATTTGATTAGTGCGTTGTTTCACGTTTGCTTGGTTTATTTGTTTACGAAAACACTGTTTTCGAGATTGGCTGTTTATTTAACGTCCCGTGGAAAGCGAATAGCTCCACTTGTTGTCTGACATTGACCATGAATACGGTTTTGAACAATGCCCCCATGGGATAATATAGTGTCCAGGCTCCCCCCCTGTCTACGTTTCAGCACGGATGAAATTGGGCGCCCCTCCACTGCCAGCCCCCTACCTCCTAGCCCCCCCCCCCCTCCCCTAGGATGCCAAGCTACGCCGCTGATTTCGGGTTGGCTGCTATGGACAGTGACGACCGGGGGATGTCCCCACGTGTTTACTTCAAGGATTTGCTTAAGGGCGATGTTCCTGATATAGGCCTATTTAACTCATATAATGATGTGAATTTGCACTGTAAGTGTAGATTTAAAGGCAGTTTGAATAAACATCTGCAGAGGACACTGGTATTAAGGTGACTAGAACTATATGCGTGTGTTGTGGACAACGTATTTACTCGACCTCGTACATGTGAGGTGAAGTTTGTGCCGCGCGTAGTCCGAGTACCGAGTACCATATCCGTTGTTATAGAGCGGTCATTCCATACAGACCATATGCTACACGTACACATTGAGTGGTTTACCGTAAGCGTGCTGAATGCAACTCGGGTTTAAACGACTGGAAAACGGCTGCTACCCCAATCTGCCATAAAGCAAAAAACATTCACATCATGCATTAAGATGAAAACATTCGGACTGACATTTTGTTAGACGTCTTTGAAACATTCAACGTGATGGAACAAGTTTGAAAACATTAGGCCTATATCAAAATGCGTTTTTAGACTCTTTATAGATACAAATATTGTTTGAGAGGTGATGTTTGAAACTATATATTTTTAAAAACCTCCTTACATGATGCACGCTTTGATAAACCCCATTCCC